CTAGCAAGGTTATGCTCAAAATCCTCCAAGGTAGGCTTCAGCAGTATGTGGACCAAGAACTCCCAGAAGTACAAGATGGATTTCAAAGGGGCAGAGGAACTAGAGACCAAATTGCTAACATGCGCTGGATTCTGGAGAAAGCCATAGAGTTTCAGAAAAACATCTACCTCTGCTTCATTGACTATGCAAAAGCCTTCGACTGTGTGGACCTCAGCAAACTATGGCAAGTCCTTAAAGAAATAGGAGTGCCTGACCACTGTATCCATCTCCTAAGAAATCTATATGTGGAAAAGGAAGCCACAGATAGAACTGGGTATGGAACAACTGATTGGTTCAAAATTGGGAAAGGAGTACGACAAGGCTGTATATTGTCCCCCTGCTTATTTAAATTATATGCAGAATACATCATGTGAAAGGCTGGACTGGATGAATCCCATGCCGGAATTAAGATTGCCGGAAAAAATATCAACAACCTCCGATATGAGGGTGAAAGAGGAGAGCACAAAAATGGTCTGAAGCTAAACATCAAAAAAACTAAGATCATGGCAATGGGGCCCATCACCTCCTGGCAAATAGAAGGGGAAGATGTGGAGGCAGTGACAGAGTTTAATATCCTGGGCTCCATGATCACTGCAGATGGTGACAGCAGGCATGAAATTAAAAGATGCCTGGTTCTTGGCAGGAAAGCAGTAACAAACCTCAAAAGCACATTAAAAAGTAGAGACATCACCTTGCCGACAAAGGTCCACATAGGGATGTAGGGAAGTGAGAGCTGGACCACAAGGAAGGCTGACCGCCGAAGAATTGATGCTTTTGAGTTGTGGTGCTGGAGGAGACTCTTGAGAATCCCCTGGACTGCAAGGAGAACAAAATTTTCTATTTTGAAGGAATTCAACTCTGAGTGCTCACTGGAAGGACAGATCCTGAAACTGAGACTCCAATACTTTAGCCATCTCATGCAAAGAGAAGACTCCCTGGAAAAGATCCTGATGTTGGGAAAGTGTGAAGGCAAGAGGAGAAGGGGACGACAGAGGATGCGATGGTTGGACAGTGTCATCGAAGCTACCAGAATGAATTTGACCCAACTCTGGGAGGCAGTGAAAGACAGGAGGGCCTGGCGTCCTCTGGTCCATGGGGTCACGAAGAGTCGGACACAACTTAACAACTAAACAACAACAACAATGTGAAATCATAGGAGGACAGAGAGATGAGAAAGTGATTTCATCTGTGGCTCTTGGGTTTTGCTTCTTTAAAGTGTGAGACAGTTAAGAATTTAGCCAGTGCTTCAAGGGTACAGTAGTGAAAGCATTTAGAAAATAAAGCTCTCCGGGGCATTTTAAAGGGTCATTAAGTAGTGTCTAATTTGTTTCTTAATTGCCCCAATATAGGTGTTTTTTGAATCGTTTGTTCTTATTGCTCCTCTGCACCTCTGTTTCTTTCTTTCTTTCTAGTATTGAGTCAGCAACTTTAGTTGGAGCTAAACTTGCTCATGTGAAATAAAAGATCAGTTACTCACAGTCATAGAGTCAAGTAAATACAGTGGTGCCTCGCATTACGATGTTAATTCGTTCCCGCAAAATCGCTGTAGAAAGAAAACATCGTAAAGCGATTTTAAAAAGCCCATAGAAACCCATTAAAACCTGATTGATGCGTTCCTATGGGATTCAAACTCATCTTTCAGATGCTTTATTGCCAAGGTCAACATGCAAACAAGAGAAGAGCAGAGGTTGTGTATCTGCTAGATTCACAGCCTTGCTGACTCCAACCATCCCCTTAGTTCCTTCTTTGCCTTTTAGCTAAGATCAAGCACAATGTAAAATTATTCCCTCTTGATGCTTGCAATGAGAAGGTTCTTTTAAAGTGAGAACAACAAAAATAATAGGAAAGCAGTGAGAGAGGGGAAGAACAGTTATTACTTTTTCATTGCTAGGAAGAGCTGGCAGAGCCTTCAATTTATTGCAGCCACTTACATATGAACAGTCCATCCTTCTGACTCCTTCCCTTTAGGATTTCGCAATAGGTGCTATATGTAACATCATTAATAGCCATGATATTATATATCTTTCCCCTTTAAATAATCCTGTGCAATACAGCCCCCCACTTTTTCTCTTCACATCTCAATTCTTCTCTCTTCTTCTGAGAAAATCATCTTGATCCATCCATATATTATTATTTCAATCTCCTTCCTGCCTCTTCCCTGTTAAAAGCATTTCAGCATGTCGCCTTCATGCTTCCCATGTTTTCGTCTCCAAATGGATTTGCTACAGATATATATGAAAAAATAAACATAGATTACAGGAAGAGCAGGAGATAACCATACACCGTGGACTCTGTGTGTCCCGACCAAATCCTCGTGTCACCTTTCTGTGTCCTAATCTGTTCCTTTATGCAATCCAGGTTCCAGTTGTGGCAATTATGACAACAGGGGGCAGTACAAGATCACTAACGGCATTGTATGGAAGCCTACGAGGTCTTCAGAAATTAAATCTCTTAGACTGTGCAACATACATTAGTGGTTTATCTGGAACAACATGGTAAGAGCATGGACATGAGGTTATAATTAGAGTTATATAAGCAAGGTTTGATCAGTTTATATGCTGGATGAATTTAAAATTGAGCTGCTGACCTATTTTGAAATCAAGACAATGGCTTTGTATTCCTTATGACAGTGGTTCCCAACCTTGGGCCTCCAGATGTTCTTAGACTACCACTCCCAGTAGCCTTCACCACCACCTCTGATGCCAGGATTTCTGGGAGTTGAACTCCAAAAACATCTGTAGACCCAAGGTTGGGGACCACTGCCTTATGAGACTCTTTCAATGCCTTACTGACTTGTCTAATGTAGTCCGGGTTAAGGAGAATGGGGGTGGGCTGGGGCTTTTGAGCTGATGGGGACACGGGAGAGGGCCTTCTCTGTGGAAGTTCCTAGGCTATGGAACACTCTCCGTCAGGAGATCAGGATGGCCCCTTCCCTGTTATCCTTTCGAAGAAACCTAAAGACCCATCTCTTCAAGCAGACTTTTAACAATTACAACTGAATCCCTTAACCCCATTTCAGCAAATAATTTTAATCTTTCCATGTTTAAATGTTTTAATCTTTTAATTTAATTTTAAATCATATACTGTATTGTTTAATTTATCTTTTAATATTTAACTTACTGTGTTTTTTAATTGTGTGAATTTTAATGTTGTGAACTGCTTTGGGTCCCTTGTTGGGAGAAATGCAGTATATAAATTTATTTATTTATTTTATTTATTTATTCTATTTATATCCCGCCTATCTAGTCGATTAAGACCACTCTAGGCGGCTTACAACAAGGGGTACAACAATGAATAAA